TTGCAACCTCGGAACGCAACGCACATGCACCGTAACACGCCCTGCGCAACACTATACGTGCCTTCAATCTGTGTGCCGCTGTTCCCTGCGCGAGTTGTGTGCCACGCTTTTTGACATGGATAGCGAATGGTTCACCACAGTGTTCTTTAGTGATATTGTCTCCAGTTCTGCTGGTTTCGTAGCAACAAAATGACAAAATTCACCTCAATTGTCTTCCATAGAACTGATCACACTGACCTCCATGAGCTTAACGCGGTTGCCGGTGCCTGAGCTTCCCCAGGTTGGAGCGCCCATAATCTCTTCTTCCTTATGTCGACTCTCAGTATATTGGCCGCCTTGGGAGTTGGATCCACTTTTCAAGTCAGCATATCTGTCCTCTCGATGGGCTCGATACAGCAACATTTCTTCGTACCGAGCAGGCAGCACAGTTTAATGTAGGCAAACACCGAACGTTGGCTCAATCAGTGAACTCACCTATAACTTATCAGACAACCTATCAATTGATAGGTTCAGGACTCTGAAAAAGTTTACTGGGTTAGTACCTTAGTTTATTAGAATCAGTAAATTTGCAACAAAAAAATTGCAAACCGCTTAATGATATTAGTGCCAGACTAAGCCTACCACATTCTGTGTGAGAGCGTCGTCACATGTGTTGTTTGTTCTGCATTACAGATGATGAGGCTACGGGATACAAAGGGTATGTTTCAGGGAGGGCAAAATTACTGTGGCACCTACATCATATATGGATGTTTGGATCCTATTGTCGACTTTCTCGTCTGGTCCTTTATAATGTCGGCTTGACACAGTGTAATAACCCCCCCCCCCCGATCCAAGGTGGTTAGGCTAAACTGCGAGCGAGCACAGCAAGCTCAACAGCGCGCTATGCGAAACCGTTTTCAAAAAATTCAATTCTTAAGTTCAAACAGCGTTCAAACTCGCTACTTGTTCAAGACCATGGGCGTGTCTTTTGTACTTTCGACAGGATTACAGGTGAATTCCACAGAAGGGTTTGCTTAAGGACACTGACCGTAGAATGGTCCAGGAACAAGCATCTGCAACCCTCAACTTCCTCATCTATATGACGAAAGGCTCTCTCAATTTTTGTATGACCAAAAGATTGTCTAGGTGACGGTGCAGTCCCGAGAAGGGAAAGGTCTGGTGCTATCAATCTTCCAAAATTTGATACTCTTCATAACCGCGGCTTTTTGGAATACAAATTGAATGGAATACCTGCGTGTCCATGACAATGGTGTGTTAAGAACCAAGTGTTTAAAGAACTGTGTAAAGGCAGGAGGCGATTGTTTTGTAAGCTATGTAAACATGTATTGGTCTGTTTTTCATTGTCATCTTTCAGAATTAATATTCGTGACTGGAATCGATTTCTGAGAGCTAGTCTCGAACAAAATATTGGTGCACCAGTAACTTTTCCCCACCCTAATGGAGCTTTCTATCGGCACAGTTGAGATAGAACCAGGATTATCATCAGCGTCGTGGTCTCATCACGTGTCATCTCCCATATTTACTCTATATACATACATATATACATAGAAATAAACAAACAAATAAACAAATAAGCAAATAAATAAATAATATGTATGTAGCTGAGGTACGTACGGTGAGGCTTGTCATTGCTCCCCAAAGATGTTAGCTTCTACTTTTTTTGCAGTGCCAGTTCTTAGAAGTCATTAAATACATAAAAAGAATGTTCAAATGTAATTACACCTGCAAAGGTTGTTCTGAAAGTAGATTCTCTGTTATTAATTTCCCTTTTTTCGTTTACCCTTTATTTCGTTTTACAAGACGTTGCCAGTGACAACAGCAATTCATGTTTTCACAAGGAGAAAAATTGCAATTTATGATGGAAGATCCTCATTGAGACTTCAGGTAGAACAATCGTTATGCAAGCATAATAGTTAAGCAACCTTTTTGTACAGGTAATACTATGTGAAGGATGAGTTTAGAATATATTTATCACGCAAATCAGTAATTTTAAATTTCTTTCATTCATTTATACTTTTTATATTATTCCTTTTATTTCATATGTTCTGAAGCATACACTCAAAGAACAAAAATTAATACGCTGTAATCAATCTCTTTTTGAAATGTATGGAAGAGAATTCGAGGCTTGTCCACAATCGGACGTACACTTAGGGGATTCATCGACAATTGTCGCAGTCCGAGAAGGGGAATTTACCTAATTTGAAGTAGGCGGACCCCCTAAAGCAGTTCTCAGCAAAGAATATGTCCGCTGCGATTCAGCATGGCTTTCCCGCGTCGCTATCGACGCGGCACGCCCACATGTAAACACTCGCCGCAGGCCTCTAGCCGTTTAGCAGAGAGAGCGTTCAGCTTAAAGAGGGCAGCGGTGATGAGAGTCATAAAATAAACTAAAGGATAAAGCATTTGCCGTTGATCAATCCCTTTTGGGATGCGGCACGCATTCTACTTCCATTTGTACATTCGCAGTGGCGTTTGAATGCGATGTGGCCTATACAATGACTTGCGGGGGCCAGCCGATGTTACAAGTCAGTGTTTTATCCTCCCAGACAAGTCTGGTACCAATTAACCGACCCCGGAGGGATGGAAGGCTTGGTTGGCCCGGGCGACTCACGACCCAGGATTTGATCCGGACCGCTCGCGTGGTGAGCGTGCCACTTGCCACTACACCACTTCCGCCCACTTGAGGGGGTGTAGTGGCAATATATGAGAGTCATATCAGAGCGGAAATCAGTGGGCAAGAAATAGGTTCCAATCCTCGAGTTCTGAGTCGTTTTTCATGGATTTCCTTCATCTCTAGCATCATAAACACTTAACTTCTAGTACTATTAGTTAGCTGCCACCATTCCGTATTTCGCCCTTTAAAATCGTACTTTTCTCCAGAGTTACGTCGCATTTCTAAATTAGTTTCTCACCCTCCTTGTATTAGTTTACGTTCGAACCAAGGCTGAATTGTCCAAACGGACAAGGAAGACGGAAAGGAAGTGTGTGACTGGCTTGCCAGGGTCAGACAAGGATTCTAGCTCGCAAATCGTACGTGTGCTGCCAAAAAAAGCGGCGCACTTTAGTGAACGCACGAAGCTTTATCGCGATAGCATGGGAGAACAAGTATTATTCGAGAATAATAAGAGGGGATATTGGACAGTGACACACGTCCTCGAGTATGAACATTCTACTCATATCGATTGGCGAAAAAGAATTAAAGCGATCGTTTTTGATTGAATTCTCAGCTGATGCGCCACGGGTGATTGCTGCCGTCCCACCACCAATTACAAAACATTGCGGCATACAGTAACAGGTCAGTGTGGCTCTCTTCGGGCTATCAACTAGGCGAACCGGAGGGATAGTAGGCTAGCGTCGTCCAGGCTATGTTCAATCCAAACGCGGGTCTCTGGGCCGCGCTCGTGCTGCTACCCCCCCCCCCCCCCATGCCCCTTCGGCCTCGTTTTCTTCTCGTGGCATCGAGAGTTGCTTCCTGCAAAGACCGCAAATCGGGCAAGTTAAAGTGATCGCAGGATCAGGACCCGAGATTTCTTTTCCTACAATGTGAGCAAGTCAGCCCCTTGGAAGCACTCATTCCAGGAGTTGAATCATAAACAGTGTCTACTCGTTCAAAGGTCAGTCCAAATTGAATGTACTCTTTATAAATTACAGGGTGGCTACTAAATATTGGCGCATGGTTTATTGATCATATTTCCAAAAAGAGAAGCTATCATATCTTCAGAAGTTTATTTTCATATACAATAAAACATGAAAATTCATTACCAAAGAAAGTGCTCGAGATGGCCTCCTTTGGTAGCGATACAGGCTTGAAGTCTCTTTTCAACTGACATCACCGTGGGCCGCAAGTAGCCGACGTCGGCGTGATGTGAGTAGATCTTCAGACCAGAAGTGGCGCACGATTTGCAAAACGACAGGCAGTTGTTGGATCTGGCTAGCAGACATTCTGCTCGACCTTGTGTACACACAAGGAACCGTTTTTCAAATTTGTCATGGTTTGGGCAGGAATTACTTCTGAAACCATGACACCGCTTGTCTTTGTGGATGAATACATCAAAGCCAGCGCCCAGATCTACCCGGAAACAATTTTCACGTAATGCCCTTCTTTCAAGGACTCTTTTGACCTTCAGCGAACGTCATTGCATTCTTCAGCAAGACAGGGCGCCTCCACATGCCGCAAAATCAATGTTGGAGAACTGTGACCGTCATTTTCCAAGTTACCGGCACAAAATGTTTGGCCATCTAAGTCGCCCGATTTGAACCAATTGATTTGGCGGGTTTGGGGCTGTTCTCTGAGCAACGTCGAAGTTTGGGCTCCCTGAAGGCTTCCTTGGAGGAGGCGTGAAAGGAGCTTGACGTCAGCTACTTGCGGCCCACAGTGATGTCAGTTGAAAAGAGAACTTTCAAGCCTGTATCGTTACTGAGGGGCACTGCTTCGAGCCCTTAAAGCAACAGTTCAGGGAGGGTCCGAAAATTTCAATGCCACTACTACTGAGGGATACACGAGCCCTAGTGAAGAACATATGCAGTGGAAATAATAAACGAACTTACCTCAGAAACTCAAAAACAGGGTGGAAAGTCCCTCAAACATGGGTGTTCTTGGGGATTTCCCCAATCCCGCCCCCTTGCCGGCCGTCATTGGACGCGTCGGCAATCGTGCTCGTTTTGGGACCACAGGGAAAATTGATTGAAAAATGGAGCGCGTTTACAGCGGGCACGTTCAGACAACTCGTCCAACGTGCGTCTTTATCCATTGCTGAGCGGCAGAGGGAGAGTACCTGTCTAAGACCCTCCCCGACGTTTTTTTTTTTCCAGTTTTTCATACATTAATCGTCTGGTTTTCATCTACAACTTCATTATTGGTGGTTTTTTCCCGCGAAACCGTTCCTGAACTGTTGCTTTAAAGCGGCTCGTTTTAAACAAGTATAGTCAAACATTCATACGCCAATATTTCAGGATTCGCCCTTACACTATCATTAATAGTACTCTAGTAAATTTGGCATCTATTTAAGATTGCAATCCTAAATATTTATCAATTTTCTTCAAACTCATTAATTTCACATTATCACTCAGTAATGCGATATCGTATGAATTACCAATGTTTAGTACGGTTGTTGACCGCTAATCAACTTATGTAACGTATGTGACTACTTATGTAAATTTTCACGGAAAATTTTAATATATTTTGCTTTTCTCGAACAATGCCATTTTTTTCGAAATTGTCAATATATCACTAATCTATAATAGTTCAACCCTTGATATCTCAACGACTGCAGATAGAGGAAACCCCTTCTTTCATATGAATTTCAGCAAAACACGGAACGAAAATTGAAAAAAAAAATCCCGTGAACTTACCGTGAAATACTCGTCGCCTTCCTTGTAGAAGAACACCGTTTTAGCGGAGTACGGTCGTGTGAAGGTTCGATCATGATTGTAGGTGCGAATCATACCATTTCGTGGCTCAACTGGTATGTTCGGCAATGACGTCATGTGTGTCCTGAAATGATAGCTGTTTAGGAGAAGAACAGTCCCGAACGGAAGCCAAAGTGTGACATATGGCATCGGTTTTACACGCAAGGCCCGGAAACAAGTTCAGGATAGGATCCGGCCCAGACCAGGACCTTGTCCAACCCAGCCAAGCGGTCAACTATTCGAGAACAATTTTGGTTCAAGAATTATAGACATTAATTGCATATAAGTCAGCCATGGATCTAATATATAAATCAGACACACTCAAAAAAGGAATTGCGATCTCCTATAGGAGCCAAATGCGTGGCGCATCTGGCTCTGGATAAAAAAAATTTCTTTATTTCGAGGGCTCTTTACTAGGAACAAGTACTGCAGAGAAGCATAGATGTCACGGATTTTAGAGTAACTAAATAAGGAAAAGAAGGAGAACAAGGAGCAGAAGAGGGAAGGAGGCGCGTGACGCACGTTGAGATATATGACACATGGAGGAGATTTGTCAGCGTGCCAAGGGCTTCATATTGAACTAATCCTTGGTTCAACGTGATTACTAGCGGCTCAGTCTCGACACGGAAGTGCTTGTGCTAGAATCTCATAAGCTTTTAGACTATCCTTTGCAGCAGCCAATGGTATGAATAACTGCACCTATAGCTTACAACCTTTTACTCTCACTGATAATAGCAGTTTAAACATTTCAGAAAGAACGGATAGAAGCGCACGTTTTGGCCGTGAAATAATTTTCCTTGGTTTTTACTCCCTTCCTTAGAACAGCAAACAACAATGAAGAACAATAAACTGACTAACTTCATGCTTTCAATTTCTAGCGCGGACCCTTCGTTCCTTCAATAGCACGAACCAAACTTTTCTAGATTTTTAGGGTACGTGGTGAGCTTTTTGAAGCAATCTTTGGTAGCTGGAGAACAGAAAGCACTCAAGGATTAGTAAATCACAAACGGTTGAACTTGAAACTCCTACTAGGACATTTCATGGAGGCAAAAGTGGCTCATCATACTACAAGGTCACTCGGCAGTTCTGTTGCCGTACCGTGAACAGCAGGGAGAAGCACCCAAGAAGGCACCACCGTTGGCACTGTCGTCATTCAAAATCCTCATGAGCCACTTTCCCCATTGATCTTTGGATCAATGTCTAATAAAATGGAACTGCATTTACCGCAGTCGCTTTGCAGAAAAGTCAAATGATGGTGTATTCCGTAAGGAGTTTGATCAGTATTTAGCTGCTCATATTTCATGTTGAGCATAAAGGATCCCCGGTATTCCGAGTACAATTCCAGACAAAGACGACACTTTCAAGGATAAACCGTGCACGCCTGTCTAGTCAGAGTCGTGCAGGTTTTCGGAACTTTGCTCGATCTCGGCAATGCTTTTCTGATGATCACCTAGTGTTCAAGCCCGCAATTTCATACAAGAAACATGTCACGAGCCGAGTAGCCTTCCTGTCAAACGGCCAACATGGTTGGCCTGAATGAGATTTGAAGGCAGAGATAAGATAGAATAGTCGCCTGCAGGGAACGAAGGCAGACGTGCTCAAAGGTGCAGCCATGAAGAAAGAACCGAGGGAAACGGTTCGAAATCCGCTACACGGCACCCTTACTTTCTTGCTGATTTCACCTTTGGTGATTCTTAACGACGTCGTCAACGCGAGCGCTCTGGTCCTGCTTTTCTACTAACGTAAGATGGCTAGTGTCCGATGGCGAGAGATCAGGAGCTGAGGTAGCTAATCGGTAGGCATGGGTAACCGTGAGGAGAAGAACAACGCCGCGCGTACGTCCTCGTAAAGTCGCTACGGCGCACACTCTTCACGTCTTCGTTCGAACAGTTCGAACGGACGGTTGACCCTGAGCGGAACGCGCCTTGCTCCACTCTCTCGGGAGGGGAGGGGGAGGAGGGATGCCTTCTTTATAGCAGATTTTTCATGTTCCTCGACCACCAAATTATCATATCTACTGCCTTTAAACGCAGTCCTAGCGATAGGTTCTGAAGGGACATGGTGGTGCTCAGTGGTACGCCAGTGGCGAAAAAAGTGGAGAAATCCGTCAAGAAAACGCAAAACGGACCCCTTGTTTGGCCGTTGATTTCGCTCACGGAGGGGCAGTGGCTAAGACTGGGGACGTGGGGTCGAGTTTACTGCAACGCGTTTGAAGGCACCATACCAAACCATGCCAGTCCAGTTGCTCCAACTGCATCGCTGCTGGCAATACAGCTCGCTCAAATCACCAACTAAACTTGTGGAGTGGAGCGCTTTTGGGGCGGAGCGGTTTTCAGCAACCAGCGTACCTTTCATCGTGAAAGCGCCACATCTCGCTTCCTTGGCAGCTTAAGCTTCTATGATAGGCTTCGTGTGGCCCGTATACTTCCTCAATGCGCTCCCTTTATCGTGACTGCTTCTTTTGATACACAAATCTTTTGATGCAAGCAACAACAAAGTTTAAGGTTGTATCACCATCGTTGAGGCCTATTTCAGACCACACAAACACCTAAGCCTTTTGGAATGGTGAAATGTCCGCAAATACAGACGTGTGCCTGAAAGCAGGCATTATCCATGTCAAAGGATTCCTGATTACAGGATTAGTGCCTGATGCTTACAGTGCAAACAGCTACATTGGATTTTTGAACCTTTCCTAGGCTTTCTGAGCTCGAATAACTGAGTCGCAAGCTAATCGCCTTTTCCCCTGAAATAAGAATTTAATTCGCTCTACTTTCAGTAAGAAGCCTATGTGACTGGAAGCGAAGTCAGTTGTGACTCCTGTATTACTACAGTAGCTTGTTTACAGCTTTGTTGTTAAGCTTTTGCCAGCAAAAGAAGCACATGACTTCAAGCATAGAAAAAGTCATCAACGGGAAACTAGTAGAAGCCTCGGGGCAGTAAGGGTCTTCTATCAATGCCTAATCCTTTGGCTGTGTCACTAGTGAAACCTTAGAAAATCCTTATCGCTACGCCACCACTGCGACAAACATGAAGCAAAGCCGTATTCACATGCAAAAAAAACCTGGGTCACGTTAAAACAATCGATCGAATATGCGCCATGTGGATCGAATGTCGCTATAAAGAATCGATATAGGTGATAAAGATTGTTTCGGTCCACACAATCGACTCATGTAGAATCTTACGCGCTTCGAAGGAGTATTACCGGTAAAGGGGCTGCGCGGATCCGGAGAGTTACTTCCACCCCTAAGCACAAGCAGAAGCTTTACAGCAATACGTCGTAACAACTTTCTTCTCGGGTGCCGCGAATCCCTTGTCAGAAATAATGAGCGTCAGGGGGTCCCATGGCTGAGGCGGAGAGCGGATGTCAAAAATGGAAGAAGACGTAGACGATAAGAATGATAGAGAGTGAGAGTGGGTATATAAGTAGTGCGTCATTCTTCGAGAGGAAACCATTCCACTCCCAGTGTTCGTCTGACACCGTACCTCCATTTTGCGTGCTATCGACGGATTTCTCATTTTTTTCACCATTGGCGCTCATTTGATATTCCTACATCCCAGCGCTCATTTGATATCCCCAACCCTTCCAGCGTCCATCAAAATCGTTGCCTCGAAACCTTTTTGATGAACTCCGTAAAACAAGTTTGTCATCGAACATGTGACCACGAAGAGAATGGAAGGGTGGCAACCGCTGTGGTATGTGATCTGTAATCAGGGTTATGGTTTGTGAACCTCCTAGCCCCGGCTCTATGGCTCTAGATGCCCAGAATCATTAAGCCTAAGCTTGGGCTCAAGCCTAAGCATCCTTCTCGAGACAACGCACAGGAAATATGTCGAAGAAATTCCATCTTTAGCTCCCCCACGAAAAATTCATCCAATACATAGCTAAGACAGAATGAGTATTCTATCACAACAAGGAGGGGCACTAACATAGCTCTATGGCTACTATCACCAATCCGTACTCTTGCGGAATGTTCAATCAGATGACAGGATCTATTCGTTATTTCCCAAAGTCTCCTAGCTTCAGATTCACTTGAGCGAGGAGCGATGTCATGAACATTCATTGGCCCTGTCACGTCGTTGCATAGGCTCAGTGGAATTCTCCAGAATGAGAGCGGAATGCATGGCGCAATCTCTGGTTTCGCAAACTTAACCCCGTAAACAGAACTGACAATTTGTGATCATTGTGAAGCACATGGAAAACTCAGAGTTCTTACTTCTGAAATGGAATAGTCAGTGAAAGTTCTCACCGATATTGCGAGCTTCATACGACATGAGAAATAATGGAAGTGAGCAAAGCCGGCTTCTTGTATTGAGCAGCACGTATGCTTTTAATGGACCTGACTGATTTTATTAACGAAAGGTTACTATGTATCGTGCTGGAGACATAACAGCCATTACCCGTAGCTCGCCAATACCCATATGTAGATATCCACCATTTCTCGGAGACTGGCTTGGTCTAGCGACCAAATAAGGTTTGGATATTTCATACGATTACTTGGGCTGCTTACTATCAGCCCTTAGCGTGAATAGCTATTGTGAATAGGATATTGGAAGCACTTGAACTTCTTATCCTAATGACGTTGTGACAAGAACAACAATACTTATCGTGTTTCCGCAAATACCGACAGTCTTAAAAGAAGTGGCCACGATAATTCCCATGGAGACGATAAGGAATGCTACGCACTGGAGTGGATAAGGGTCCTGCCCAACGATACAACAGGTAGTCTAACCGGCTCAACACGTTATACGTGTGAGTGCTGAAAGCTATGGTACGTATACCATGAAAAGCTGAGTTGGAATGAAATGGTGCCCCGGTAGCGTAACTGGTAGCGCACTTGCCCGGAAAGCGAGAGGTGCGGGTTCTAGTCCCGCCTGGGGCGAAAGTTTTGTTCACAACCCAGCATTCTTGTGAAACACAGGTATGTTTCAGTTTCCACTTGAACGCTTCCTTCAAGAATGCAGGCAGATAAGCGGTCGAAAGAATCCCAGAGCTGACGACAACATCGCAAACCATGTGGAATGGGTTTCTCATCGCGCGTATCGATAACATTTGATTCCTTCAATCAATACACCGAATACCGTTAGCGCAGAAGCTACTGATTCCCTATGTTGCGTACTGGTCCAATTATTTACTCATCGAAACGTTTCAAGGGTTAATGATTCAAGGATATGTTGGATAAGCGGTTGTTTGAAGCTCGCCCCGACGAGCTTGGCCTTAAAGCAACAGTCCAGGCAGGGTTTCAACTACTTGGTCATTAGGCGGTCAAAACATGCCCCAGCCCAACTAAAGTTTATAGGAAATGTCTTTAAGTTCAAAACCTACCTCTAAAATGCGCTGGAAGGGGTCGAAGTCCTCTTGGAGGGGGCGGATCACCCATACCGAGGCGGATCGCCCAACATACGCTGTGCAGAGTCCGTGCTTGACTAGCGGTCGTTGCGGGACCGCCGCGCTGTATGAGGTCGATTCCATAAGAACGCAATTGAAGCGCTTCAATTTCGATTGCTGGCAAATAGTTATATGTATTTGCAAGCATGCATGGCTATTTGCCAGCAGTTGCAATTGGAGCGCATGTACTACGGGCAGGTTCGGACAACTCGTCCAACACACGTCTCCCTAAACGGCAGGGGGAGTCCCTGTCTAAGCCCCTGCCCGACGTTTTTTTCTACTTTTTCTTTCTCCATTGACCAACTTCTCACCTGCAACGTCATTATAGGTGGTCCTTACCCGCGAATTCGTTCCTGGATTGTTGCTTTAATTTGTCTATAGACTCTACAACTATGCGCGCATTCGAGTAATCACACGCGGAAGTCATACGCACGGTACATCCGAGAGATATTCCTAGACGGCGTCAAGTGCCTTGACTGGCTATCCAGTGATAGTAAGTAATAAAGGTCATCGGTAAACAAATAAACAAAGCAGTAGCAACATATATTTAGGCCATTGTAATGGAGAGAATAGGAAGAAGCAGTGATAAATGTAAGCTATTCGATGGAGTTGAAACATAGAGGAGAGTCCACCGCATTTGCTTGAAATGCGGCAAGAGGTCTAATCACAAGTTAATTCTGTCTGAGCCTCAACGGCGAGATGCTCTTATGTTCCTTTGGTGCTCCGGACAGCCCTCAGAAAATACACTTCGAGATCAGTACATCAACACCGTGGTAACTAACATACACCCGTCATGCAGAGTTTGCAAGAGACGGTCAAAGGTCTATGCAGAAGCAGCCTAATCGGAATAAGCAACCAGCGATATTCAGAGGCGTGTGTTAGGTTAAGTTATCCTAGCGTTTTTTGTCCGCCCATTCCGTATCTGATCCCCACTCCTCTCAAAATTGAACGCTTTCAAAGGCACGGTCGGGATGGAATTGGTGTGTTAATTTACTCGAAAATTGGACAGGAAGAGGAGAAAAGAAGGAAATTATACGGGACAATAACTGCAATGAGCAACTATTGGGGGAAGCAAAAAGCGCTATGGAAAACACTGGAATTTCCCTTGCTGGAATGGAATTGGCCATTGCATGACGGAAGGGACACTGCGCTGCGATGAAAGGTACAAACGCGAGAGAGTATGTCATAAGCGAGAGGGCGCAGACGTCACAGATGCCTGCAGTTGGTAAGGATGGTAGCACGGCGTCCCACAAGGCAAGGAGGCCTTAGCACCGTTTCCTAGAACTTTTGAGTAGCGGCAGTGTTGCGCTTGAGACCTCTCTTTCTCGTTCTAGGAGGAGGTCGCTCTTAACCGTGCTTAAAGACAGTGAATACGTTGGCTGGGAGGCGGTGCAGTTTCGATGACGTTAGCGTGGATGGTACTGCATCTTGTTACACACCAAATGTGCACTGCCCAAAGCCATCATGACTGCTTCCAAGGAAATGTGAAGGATGTGGTATGTAGACAACCGCAAAAATCAGGCGGCGATTGAATAGAATCCTTTCAAATTCTAGCCTCTAGGCTATCTTGCAGACTAGACAAGATCGTGCTACCTCCAGGTGCCATCAAGATCACCGAGAGAGAGTTCATGTTTCATTCATTTATACATTGCGAGAGGAAGATATGGGTCCGTTGTTTGGAGAGTCAAGTTATTTTCGCGCTACAGCTTCAAGGCCGATTCATAGATAGCTGACAGCATCGCCTTACAGGAGAAATACATGGGAAAAATCCAAAGTCATGTGTCATTAGGTTCGCCTTGGTTACGTAAGTATGCGGTAGAAGCAAGTAAACTTTTACGGATGCATATACATACTTGAGCCACAGCGTACGGTAATTCCATGAAGATATTATATGCGGAAAGAGGAGGGGAGATTACTGACAACTTGCATTGGTGGAGGTTTCTCGTGCTCACGACAAATCCATTAAGTAAAAAGGGAAACTAGTGGCACTGTCTCAAATACTATACTTGTCTTGTGAACCACTGAAGAAATGGGATGGAAATGGTATGTAGGGTGTTCAAAGGGATCATGAAGGGAGAAGTATGAGCAAAGGTTCGGCGCTATTCCAAGATACATGGGCAGGGGGTTGAGGACTAAGCCTAGAAGGGAGTACGAAATGGAAAAATTGCTCACGCATCCTGGAGACTCTCCTCCCTCGCCTGAGGCTTATTCCTTAAGTTTTACGCGATTTTATATGCAACTGCCACATTGCACCCCCTATCTTATGACAGCCCTAAAGAATCCTCGCTAGAAATAGACTTGTGCAGCGAAGGCGTTCCAAGAACGGAATGGGTATGGTAGACTGAAAGATTAGGGCGGTGAAACGATGGCGCACACGTGTACTTCCGATAGTGAGGGGCGTTCCTGTGCTTCATTAACGATCGAAATACAATTGTTCTGAGCGATACTTTTTTGCTCTGATGGTTACTAGGTGCAACGATAAGCGCCTAGGGAACGCTACAAACGCTGAATGTCGAATACTCACATATGAATCGCGGGAGTCGTTTGACGCACGTGACCGAGACGTCGACATCTGCAACATCGTAATATGTACAAGTGGGCAATCAATAAATCAATAACGCGACAACTATGGTGAGAATGCTGTATCGAGCATCACAAAAGAACAGAAGGACGAGCTGAGAAATGCTGCGAGGTACACACATATGCCAGAGTCGCCATCCAAGGCATTGGCTCAAAGCGATCGATATATCGATTGAAGCGGATGAAGAAGTCACTTTTCTGGGAGAAGTTTGTACTAATAAATTCTATACAGATAAATACTAACGAAATGGTATGGCATCGGTGTACGAATCAGAGACTGGAATGATTTGGTGGCATAGGAGTCAATGCAGAGAAGAGGCTTATCGTTAGAGTCGAGTTGTGGATCCTATCTGATACGCCTCGTTCACTGTCTTCGTTCGAAATCGCAGACGTGATTGATTTCGCCTATCAGTACATGCTGCTAACCTTACACGTACGCATCAAGTGGCAATGTTTAGGAACTTCTGGTGGCACAGCCCGCTTCAAGAGCGGTCCTGCCCTCCGAAACTTTGTGATTGCTGAGCTCTTGAAACAGAAAGGAGCCTTAGTAGAGTTATTTAGCAACCAAGGGTATTGCCTTATTAAAATACCGCCTCATTCATTCGGAAGAGAGCCAGGACGGCTTTATGTCCATGACTCAGCACCATCACTAAATAATTCAGAAAGCCGCTGACTTTCAGTTCGCTCACGGTATTCTATTACTTTACTGGGCGTAAGTGATGTGGGGAAAGTGACGCTGCCTGCCACGGGCGCTGTTCGGGGGTCGAATTTTGGATCCGATCGCCGAGGTTCACATCTTCACATTCCCGGGACTCTTACCAAACTTGCCTGGGAGGTAAAACGCTGACATAAACATCAGTTTTCTGTAATGTCATTCTGTAAGTCAAATTCCACCCAAATACCATAGCGATTCTGAACGGAAATTAAAGGCGTGGCACATTCCAGAAAAGGTTTGCTCAACGGCGAAGGTTTCGTCTTCTATCGTTTGTGCATATGCACATACATACATGTATCATATGATAGACAGCACTAGCTCAACGACGAAGACGGAGCATTTCAGAAACCTGGCGGGTCAGAAGCCGATCTCGATTGATTGATATCAAACTGGCTTAACAGGAGAAAATTGCTGATCTGACTCGAACATCACCCAGCCACTGTAACTCGTTGACAAAATTGTCTGCGTTTTTTTGTTAATGCGAGTGAAAGTCGAATGTGTGGCGCATTCTGAAGAACTTTATCTATGCTGCCCACTACACGGCTTACCTTCTTGATGTATTATATTTCATAATTTAATTCGATATTGAGTTACATCTACGCCATAAAGCTAAATATGCATTGCATAACAACTATTATATGACCTTCACTGCTTGTTATCAGATGCCGCATTCAGACGACATGTATAGCAGTCTTCCACAGCCCTACTCGAGCCGAGATAAAACGGTGGTCAGACTGCACCATGACTATTATTTTTCCGGGAAATTTCTAGAAGCCCTAGCCTCCTTTTCTTTGTCTTGGCTCTTACTCATGAGTTCCTCTAGTTCCTCCGCCACTGCTTGTAAATCAAATTGATTACGTTTATATACTAAGAAGCGCTCATAGGATTTGAGCAGAACCGACAACTTCCGCAAACTGGTGATTCACCACTTCATGAGCGCCAAGTAGGCCCACGTTTTCATGGTTAGTGCCACGCCCTTCACAGGAAGCATCTGAGCCGTCGTTTCCATGAAACTGTTGACGTAAGCGTGGCAGAGAAGGGCGATCGCATTGATTTAGTAGGAAATGGTCATTGAGCTGATTGTCAGTTACTGGTGGTGGTGGGTTTCAGTTCTTGTCAGTTGCTCTACCGTATAGAAGAGCCGGCAACATTAACGTATAGGTTAAAATTAACTCCCAGAACTTCTCCTCGAGCAGCCTGACCCTTTTTGTAACTCCAGGTGACTGTCATTGGCGTCAACCTACCCCTCCATTTACTCTGCCACTGGGCAATTCCAGCACGACAGAATTACCAAACAAGTCTATATATCCGACGCTGCGTACCCTAAATACAATGCAGACAGAATCCTTAACAAAACTTTCGAACAATGTGTGCTTTGGCAAAAATGCACATATTACAAGAACTGAAAAAATTGTCTCATTGACCCCTTTTAGAGGCAATGAGAAAGTGAGCCTGAGTAGAAGTTGGGCGAAAGAGTACAACATTGAAAGTGCGCTAGACACCAACACGTTGCGTACGAGAAAATATTGAAGCAGATGAAGCGATTGAAGCGGTCTTTACGAGACTCTAGCCACTTCATATACAAAAGTACGGGATCGCTTAAAGTCGTACCTCTAACCTTACGCATCTACTCCAATGCATCCGGATTGGCATTAGTCGTAAGTTTAAATATTCTGCACAACCAATTCTTCATCCCCTTCGACAGTCTTTCTTCCCTCCTATAGTCCGATGATCAAGCCCTTTATAGTTGTTTATGGAGACGTAAAGTGAAAATGGTATAAGGATGGAGAGAAGGAGAAAATATAGCACTCTAACCATGAAGAATCTTTCACATTTGAGATGCTGAAACTTCAGCACCAAACACCCTACCGATCTCGCTCTTGTGACAGCAGATGCTCAACGTTCGCCCATATGGTGTTTGTCCTGCCATTGAGACCGTTCTATTTGGAGGGAAACAGAAATGCGACACGCTAGCTTGTCGCTTGGAAGAGGAAAAGCAAACAGCATCCTCATGCGAGCAAACGAGTGGCCAGTTTATTCTCTAAGAACATCCCGTTACAGAAATCGCTCTATTTACAATGCCAAGGAGAGGTAGTGAATGTCAGCCAGGATTTCTAGTACCATTGTCTTAGCTGTTGTATCGTTTTTGTTCTAACATGGAATCAATAAAACCCCGCGAATTACGTACATAAAAGATAACAGGGGCTAAGCCTGACAAGCTAGTGGATGCCTTTTCAGGATGGGCCACCTATGATCCCCATCCAGAACTAGAACGGCATAAGATTCCCAATTCATCCAAATATCAATCTTTGAGTACCGAGGCCAAGCATGTATATCTACCAGCGCTGTCACTCCTGGAATCAGCGCCACTTGCCTAACCACGGAAAAGGCTATGGCCGACTCCAGACGGACACAAGTCTGACCGGATTCAGGACCATGTCTTGAAGAAAAACTTTCCATCGCAATTACCGTTACGGTTATTCCGTCACTAGGAATCAAGTATGTACAACGTAAAGGAAAGGAAAAATGCAGTAAATATAGATAATGTATCAAAAAGGCTAGAGTGAACCTCGAAAAGAGCTGTTTCTGAGATACTGACAGTCTTAAGGAGACACGCTTGTAAACGAGCTTGCGGATTTGTGAGGAAGACAAGTAGGGTGAGGAAGCACCAAAAGAAGAAAACAGTCACTAATGAAGCTTGCTAATCGCCTAAAAAGAGGCTATAGAGGAAATCCTTCAGGAGATTTTCAGAAACCATGGTTGCCTCTGCATGCAAGAATGACTGCAAGTTGCAGAACCTAATTCTGAGCAAAAGACACCAAATTTAAAAAAAGTGCCGCACTGCCGCGGGCGATTCGACCCTCAATTTCAAAAACTCGTATCTTTCTTTGAATTGAACTTTATTCCTAATAATAATTCCCACAAGCACTTACACCAGTCCGCCATCGGTCGACAAGGAAACAAATGCCTCTCCTTCAAAATTCGGCAGGCTTCGAGTCGAAGAAGTGCCCATGTCCGCTTTCAACTATTGAAAGTTGTCGTAGTTTTTATCCTTTGAGAAGTGAGCCAGGGAAAGGAGTGGGTGGTAATCCGTAGGCGCAAGACCTGGCGAAATATGGAGGATGGGGTAAAACCGCAGATCCAAGTTCCGCCAATGTGTCCTGGGTTACCCTTGCAACATGGGGTCACGCGTTGTCATGAAGAAGAAAAACTTCGTCCATCTCAGGGCGAAGTTTCGCGACTTCAACTGCGAGCCTTCGTGGTTGTGAGCAGTACACCTCGGCGTCGACGATGGTATTGTCTGGCATCTCGTAATGACGTGTTCCCCGAACTCTCCACCAAACTGACAGAGGAACTTAGTCCCCCGTCAACCGCCGGGACCTTCCTTTCCTGCGCAAGCTTTCTATCCTCCGCTATGGTCCCTTCCTCCTGTGACACCAACACCTCCTGGAAGTGACGCGTATGCAACACAATGGTGTTTCATACAGTAGAAGGGACACAATCATGATATGACGGTAGATTTTTCGCTTCCCTTCCTCATCCTCCCTTCCTCTCTCCACTGCCCTCCAGCTGCCACTGCAGCACCATGTGGAATGAACGGAAGTGTGCTAAGCAGGTGTTTATATAGCCCTAAGAGTGTTATCACAACTATCCTGCTACAAAACATTGATATCTCAAATCCTGTAAGCTACCCGATTTGTTAGCGGTTTGTTTATCCCATGAGCTTCCTTCTCACTCACTTCATTTTGCGGACGGACACACATACATACATACACACACATACAGATACACAAACCGACACACAAAGTTAGCGCTTTATAAATCTTCCCTTACAATGCTCTGTCAGCTCATGAGGGATCAATCGACCAAGTTTCTCAACTTTTTCCAGCATGTGATGAACACGACCTGTGGCCATGTTGAAGCAGTGCATCTCCTTTGCCAGCTCCATGGCGCTTGCATGCGGAAAGTCTTGAAGTAACAGCTCCAAACGTTCGAAATTAACTTTCGTTGGGCGTCCATCTTCGAGGTTGTAGTTTCCTTCGCGGAGCCTTCTGAACCAAAGTTGGCAGGTTTTTTCACTTACCACTCCCCCTACTTCCACAGAGCATATTTTGCGGCAGGCTTCGCTCGCTGTGTGTCCCATACAAAATTCGCAAAGAAGTCAGTGGCGTACATGGGTAGAAACTTATGGCATTTTCCAGGCTCCAAAAGGCCTGCAGGAGGTGAGACTCGGAAATATGAAGGGATGTTACCATTCCTGTATATGGTTAAAAAATTTCCCCTCC